TTAGCCGTTAGCTGTTAGCTGTTAGCCGTTAGCTGTTAGCACTCCGAGCTCACAGCTCCTCATATCTGTTCAGAAACTGGAGGAAAGTTAAACATGAACAAACCACAGACTGTCTGAGTCATGGTGAATCCAGTCGCTGCTTTATTCATGTCTGTATGACGTTGTTGTGAGTTTGGAGGGAGCAGCTACACGTTAGAAAACACACATTTAAAACGGTTGCTCCTGCTGTCATGTGTACACGCTCATTAATCACTGGTATTTACTAACCGGTATCAGTGTGTTGTTACTTCGGCATCATTTTAAATCGTGTATAACAATGAAATCACGGTCAAATATGTTCATTTTGTTATAGTTGGTTTCTACAGTAATATCTTCATGGAGATAAGCCCCGCCCCTGGCCAGCGCGTCCTGTTTGAATGGCAGGAGTAAACACAGCTGACAGTCCGCTGTGAGCGCAGCATTAGAGTCTTTGGACCGTGGGAAAGATCCCCTTCTCTCAGGAGCGCGGGTCAGAAATGAAACCAGATGACCTCGTGAGTTCAAAAGGTTCAAATAAATACTAAACTGTAGAAGAGGATGCAGGGTCTGGAGGGTCTCTTCTTCTGTTGGAAGATAAAGCAGACCTCCCTCTGCAGACCGATGGGCTCCTGACGAAGAGGAGAGGAGGGCCTCCTGTCGGTCGTATCGCAGCGTGTGATTGGCTGCTCAGGGGTGAAGGTTTTGGCTCCCTGTCGGTATGGCAGCGTGTGATTGGCTGCCCAGAGGTCATGACGTGTGTCAGATCTCTGCCTTCTCTCACTCTGACAGTTATGGTGCAGCTCTCCTCTTCTTAATCACTATTTATGTGACTTCAGGATCCAACCCGTGGGTTTTATTAGCGTGACCTTCGGGAACGGGAAGTTCATGAAACATTTTCAGAGTTTGACCTTCGACCTCATCAGGATTAACGGACTCATGTCCCGCCGTAATGACTTCAACCTGCAGACTCAACAGTGGCTCTGTGTGTAACAATATGAAGGGTTAGAGGTGTGTGTGTGTGTGTGTGTGTGTGTGTGTGTGAGAGTGTGTGTGTGTGTGAGTGAGAGTGTGTGTGTGTGAGTGAGAGTGTGTGTGGCCTAGCATTACTATACTTGTGGGGACCTAAATCTGTCTACACAGTCACGTGTGGGGACTCGCCTCCCTTATGGGGACAAATTGGAGGTCCCCATGAGGGGAGTCATTACTTTTAGGGTGAAGACTTGGTTAGGTTTAGGGTTAGGGTTAAGGTTAGGATAAGTCTCCAGGAAATGCATGTCAGTCAATGTAATGTCCCCTGAAGTGGTGTATACATGGTATGTGTGTGTGTGAGTGTGTGTGTGGGTGTGTGTGTGTGGTTATCAGCCTCTGATCCGGCGCTGTTTGGTTTGACTCACCGGCAGATTCAGAGAGACGAAACCTCTTCCGAAAATATCGTAAACACTGTGGTCCTAAAAGCTGAGACTAACTGCTGCAGTTCGACTGATGGACAGCTCGGGCTCTGTGCATCAGACTAACTGCTGCAGTTCGACTGATGGACAGCTCGGGCTCTGTGCATCAGACTAACTGCTGCAGTTCGACTGATGGACAGCTCGGGCTCTGTGCATCAGTCCCAACTCAAAAGAGCTGCTCATCAAAGGCTAACATTTGAGCAGTTATCATTGTTTTTAAAAACCACAAAATACGTTTTTCCATCCCAGTTTAGATCCTCCGTTCCGCACACGCCTCTTGGATGTAAACAGAACGTTGCTGTTCCCATCTAAACGAGTAATATCACGTCTACTCTGGCTTGGAGAACAAAATGTGTGTGTGTGTGTGTGTGTGTGTGCGCGCGCTTTAGAGCAACAGTATTTTCCTCATTGTGACGCTCTGCTTAAAGTTCTGTCAGCGCCCCATGGAGAGTTATTCATGTGGAAACGGAACTTCCCCCTATGAGTGATGAATTAAGGTTCATCCTATCTTATCTCAGAATCTGACTTTTATCTAAAAATTCTGACTCAACATTATTCTTCAGACAGACCCCTCCCCTTCTCTTCAGTCAGACCCCTCCCCTTCTTCAGACAGACCCCTCCCCTTCTTCAGACAGACCCCTCCCCTTCTCTTCAGTCAGACCCCTCCCCTTCTTCAGACAAACCCCTCCCCTTCTCTTCAGTCAGACCCCTCCCCTTCTCTTCAGTCAGACCCCTCCCCTTCTCTTCAGACAGACCCCTCCCTTCTTCAGACAGACCCCTCCCCTTCTTCTGACAGACCCCTCCCCTTCTTCTGTCAGACCCCTCCCCTTCTTCAGACAGACCCCTCTCCTGCTTCTGACAGACCCCTCCCCTTCTTCAGTCAGACCCCTCCCCTTCTTCAGACAGACCCCTCCCCTTCTTCTTCAGACCCCTCTCATGCTTCTGACAGACCCCTCCCCTTCTTCAGACAGACCCCTCCCCTTCTTCAGACAGACCCCTCCCCTTCTTCATACAGACCCCTCCCCTTCTTCAGACAGGACCCCTCCCTTCTTCTTCAGACCCCTCCCCTTCTTCAGACAAACCCTCCCCTTCTCTTCAGTCAGACCCCTCCCCTTCTCTTCAGACAGACCCCTCCCCTTCTTCAGACAGACCCCTCCCCTTCTTCTGACAGACCCCTCTCCCCTTCTTCTGTCAGACCCCTCCCCTTCTTCAGACAGACCCCTCTCCTGCTTCTGACAGACCCCTCCCCTTCTTCAGTCAGACCCCTCCCCTTCTTCTTCAGACCCCTCTCATGCTTCTGACAGACCCCTCCCCTTCTTCAGACAGACCCCTCCCCTTCTTCATACAGACCCCTCCCCTTCTTCAGACAGACCCCTCCCCTTCTCTTCAGACCCCTCCCCTTCTTCAGACAGACCCCTCCCCTTCTTCAGACAGACCCCTCCCCTTCTTCTTCAGACCCCTCCCCTTCTTCAGACAGACCCCTCCCCTTCTTCTTCAGACCCCTCTCCTGCTGATATATACACAGTAAATCTATCGTCTTCATTGTAAACTTGTTGTTTTCTCTCAGGATGGAGAGAACATCTTCTACCTGGCGGTGGACGACATCGACACGGATACGGAGCTCCTGATTGGCTACCTGGACAGTGACATGGAGGAAGAGGAGGAGGAGGAAGAGGAGGAGGTGATGAAGGACGACGACGAGAACAGTAAAGACGCCAGACATCTAGTAGAAATGGGTATTATGATTGAATCCTGACCACTGATGATTATAGACAGAATATGTTAGGTCTGTTTCTTACTGTGTGCACTCTCCAAATCTCCAAATCTCCAAATCACAACTTTCTCTAAATCATAACTTTCTCCAAATCTCACAACTCTGATTTTATAAAAAAGAAAATCAGAGTTTATTTTCCAAAAAATCTGACTTTTTTCAAACAAAAATCAAAATTCTAGTTTATTTCTGGTGACTTTTTTCTTAAATCTCCAAAAATTCGGACTTTTCTCGAAATGTGGACTTTAAAAAAATATGTATTTCACTTTTTGCTGTGAATTCTCAAATGTTCCTCCTCCTCCTCCTCCTCCTCCTCCTCCTCCTCCTCCTCCTCCTCCTCCTCCTCCTCCTCCTCCTCCTCCTCCTCCTCCTCCTCCTCCTCCTCCTCCTCCTCCTCCTCCTCCTCCTCCTCCTCAGAGCTGGTGATAAAGAAGGAGGATTACCCCTGCCTGCTGTGTGAGAGCAGCTTCCCATCAGAGGAGATTCTGGCCAATCACCTGCAGACGCTTCACCAGAGACCCAGCAGCGAAGAAAAGGACTTCAAGTGCAGGAACTGTGGAAAGAAGTTCCCCGTCAGACAAGCCCTGCAGCGCCAGTAGGTCCCTTTACCTCTAAAACTGATCCCAGACCAGAACCATTACCTCTAACACTGATCCCAGATCAGATTCATTACCTCTAAAACTGATCCCAGATCAGATTCGTTAACCCATTACCTCCAAAACTGATCCCAGATCAGATTCTTTACCTCTAAAACTGATCCCAGACCAGAACCTTTACCTCTAAAACTGATCCCAGATCAGATTAATTAACACATTACCTCTAAAACTGATCCCAGACCAGAACCATTACCTCTAACACTGATCCCAGATCAGATTCATTACCTCTAAAACTGATCCCAGATCAGATTCGTTAACCCATTACCTCCAAAACTGATCCCAGATCAGATTCTTTACCTCTAAAACTGATCCCAGACCAGAACCTTTACCTCTAAAACTGATCCCAGATCAGATTAATTAACACATTACCTCTAAAACTGATCCCAGACCAGAACCATTACCTCTAACACTGATCCCAGATCAGATTCATTACCTCTAAAGCTGATCCCAGACCAGAACCATTACCTCTAAAACTGATCCCAGATCAGAACCATTACCTCTAACACTGATCCCAGATCAGAACCATTACCTCTAACACTGATCCCAGAGCAGATTCATTACCTCTAAAACTGATCCCAGACCAGATTCGTTAACCTCTGTTCTCTCAAAAACTGATCTCAGTTCAGTTGCATTAACCTCCTCTAAATCTGATCCCAGATCAGATTCACTAACCCTGTGTTTTATCCCTCCTCAGTGTTCTTCACTGCTCAGAGTCTCCTGACCCCTCCTCAGACTCTAAATCTCATCAATGCTCTCTGTGCAGCTCCAGCTTCAGCTCCATCTCCAGGTAACACCTGAAACACACCTGAACACACCTGAACACACCTGAAACACACCTGAAACACATCTGAAACACACCTGAAACACACCTGAAATACACCTGAAACACACCTGAACACACCTGAAACACCTGAAACACACCTGAAACACACCTGAAACACATCTGAAACACACCTGAAACACACCTGAAACACACCTGAACACACCTGAACACACCTGAACACACCTGAAACACCTGAAACACACCTGAAACACATCTGAAACACACCTGAAACACACCTGAAACACACCTGAAACACATCTGAAACACATCTGAAACACACCTGAAACACATCTGAAACACACCTGAAACACACCTGAAACACACCTGAAACACACCTGAACACACCTGAACACAACTGAACACACTTGAAACACACCTGAACACACCTGAACACAACACACCTGAACACAACACACCTGAACACACCTGAACACAACACACCTGAACACACCTGAACACAACACACCTGAACACACCTGAACACAACACACCTGAACACACCTGAACACAACACACCTGAACACAACACACCTGAACACAACACACCTGAACACACCTGAAACACACTGAACACACCTGAAACACACCTGAAACACACCTGCACACTGAAACACACCTGCACACACCTGAAACACACCTGAAACACACCTGTTACACACTGAAACACACCTGTTACACTGAAACACACCTGAACACACCTGAAACACACCTGAACACACCTGAATCACACCTGAATCACACACACCTGAATCACACACACCTGAATCACACACACCTGAATCACACACACCTGAATCACACACACCTGAATCACACACACCTGAATCACACACACCTGAATCACACACACCTGAATCACACACACCTGAAACACACCTGAACACACCTGAAACACACCTGAAACACACCTGAAACACACCTGAAACACACCTGAAACACACCTGAAACACACCTGAAACACACCTGAACACACCTGAAACACACCTGAACACACCTGAAACACACCTGAAACACTTGAAACACACCTGAAACACACCTGAACACACCTGAACACACTTGAAACACACCTGAAACACACCTGAACACACCTGAAACACACCTGAAACACACCTGAACACACCTGAAACACACCTGAACACACCTGAAACACTTGAACACACGTGAACACACCTGAAACACACCTGAACACACCTGAAACACACCTGAAACACTTGAAACACACCTGAACACACCTGAAACACCTGAAACACACCTGAAACACACCTGAACACACCTGAAACACACCTGAACACACCTGAACACAACACACCTGAACACAACACACCTGAACACACCTGAACACACCTGAACACAACACACCTGAACACACCTGAACACAACACACCTGAACACACCTGAACACAACACACCTGAACACACCTGAACACACCTGAACACAACACACCTGAACACACCTGAAACACACCTGAAACACCTGAAACACACCTGAACACACCTGAAACACACCTGAAACACATCTGAAACACACCTGAAACACATCTGAAACACACCTGAAACACACCTGAAACACCTGAAACACACCTGAACACACCTGAAACACACCTGAAACACCTGAAACACACCTGAACACACCTGAAACACACCTGAACACACCTGAAACACACCTGAACACACCTGAAACACACCTGTAACACACCTGAACACATCTGCAGTATCTAATCAGCTAACACACCTAGTAACATTTATCTGTGTCCTCCTCCTCCTCCTCCTCCTCCTCCTCCTCCTCCTCCTCCTCCTCCTCAGTTTCCTTCAGCATAAGGAGGCGTGTAAAGGAGATGCTCGTTTCATCTGTAAAGCTGAGAGCTGTGGGAAGAGATTCAAGAGCAAAGACGCTTTGAAGAAGCACAAAGGAAACGTCCACACAGGTGAGACTGTACAGGTGAAGGTGAGTGACATCACTTCCTGTCACCTGGGCCAGTGGTCTGTCTGCTTTTATATTGAAATGTCACGTGTTGCCTCTTCAAACACATCCAGCCTGGGCTTCATAGAGAGGGGTTCATATGTGGAGACATCCCATTGGAGCAGGGAGATGCTGCCTTCAGGGACCCACACAGAAACAGGACATCCCATTGGAGCAGGGAGATGCTGCCTTCAGGGACCCACACAGAAACAGGACATCCCATTGGAGCAGGGAGATGCTACCTTCAGGGACCCACACAGAAACAGGACATCCCATTGGAGCAGGGAGATGCTGCCTTCAGGGACCCACACAGAAACAGGACATCCCATTGGAGCAGGGAGATGCTGCCTTCAGGGACCCACACAGAAACAGGACATCCCATTGGAGCAGGGAGATGCTGCCTTCAGGGACCCACACAGAAACAGAGACATCCCATTGGAGCAGGGAGATGCTGCCTTCAGGGACCCACACAGAAACAGAGACATCCCATTGGAGCAGGGAGATGCTGCCTTCAGGGATCCACACAGAAACAGGACATCCCATTGGAGCAGGGAGATGCTGCCTTCAGGGACCCACACAGAAACATCCCATTGGAGCAGGGAGATGCTGCCTTCAGGGACCCACACAGAAACATCCCATTGGAGCAGGGAGATGCTGCCTTCAGGGACCCACACAGAAACATCCCATTGGAGCAGGGAGATGCTGTCTTCAGGGACCCACACAGAAACATCCCATTGGAGCAGGGAGATGCTGCCTTCAGGGACCCACACAGAAACAGGACATCCCATTGGAGCAGGGAGATGCTGCCTTCAGGGACCCACACAGAAACATCCCATTGGAGCAGGGAGATGCTGCCTTCAGGGACCCACACAGAAACAGGATATCCCATTGGAGCAGGGAGATGCTGCCTTCAGGGACCCACACAGAAACATCCCATTGGAGCAGGGAGATGCTGCCTTCAGGGACCCACACAGAAACATCCCATTGGAGCAGGGGAGATGCTGCCTTCAGGGACCCACACAGAAACATCCCATTGGAGCAGGGAGATGCTGCCTTCAGGGACCCACACAGAAACATCCCATTGGAGCAGGGAGATGCTGCCTTCAGGGACCCACACAGAAACAGGACTTCCTGCAGTTTCACTCTGCTCAGGACGTGCTGACGGTCCTCTCAGAAAGTGGATCAGTGTAATCTGATGATGGAGACTCTCATTACTCGCTCTGTACCATCTGACCTGTGTGTCTGAAGCTATTTATGATGGGATGTAGGGCCGTGCGTGTGTCCGTGTGTGTGTGTGTGTGTGTGTGTGTGTGTGTGTGTGTGTGTGTGTGTGTGTGTGTGTGCGCGTGCGTGTCCCAACTACTCATTGCAGCATATTTGCTTACGATGTTTGCGACGTGTTTTTTTGCAGGACGTTTTCTCACGTTCTAAACACATCGTGCTAAGCTAGTGCTAGCTAAGCTAGTGCTAGCCGTCTTAGCATCATTTAGCCGTCCTGCAGGAAGCGGCAGAAGACTGGAGGACCTCACAGAATGTCCTGATAAATATTGATCCAGTTTCAGCGTAAAGACTCCAGAAGCACAGCTGCTCTCCCTCTGGCAGCTCTCTCATCCTTCAGAAGCTATTCAGAGACAACACTGATGTCTCTGTGGAATCTCCTGAAGCTCCTTCCCGGCAGCTGGGACTCTGGTTGCTCTCTCTGTCCTGGTTGCTCTCTCTGTCCTGGTTGCTCTCTCTGTCCTTGTTGCTCTCTCTGTCCTGGTTGCTCTCTCTGTCCTTGTTGCTCTCTCTGTCCTGGTTGCTTTCTCTGTCCTGGTTGCTCTCTCTGTCCTAGTTGCTCTCTCTGTCCTTGTTGCTCTCTCTGTCCTGGTTGCTCTCTCTGTCCTGGTTGCTCTCTCTGTCCTTGTTGCTCTCTCTGTCCTGGTTGCTTTCTCTGTCCTGGTTGCTCTCTCTGTCCTAGTTGCTCTCTCTGTCCTGGTTGCTTTCTCTGTCCTGGTTGCTCTCTCTGTCCTGGTTGCTCTCTCTGTCCTTGTTGCTCTCTCTGTCCTTGTTGCTCTCTCTGTCCTGGTTGCTCTCTCTGTCCTGGTTGCTCTCTCTGTCCTGGTTGCTCTCTCTGTCCTGGTTGCTCTCTCTGTCCTGGTTGCTCTCTCTGTCCTTGTTGCTCTCTCTGTCCTTGTTGCTCTCTCTGTCCTGGTTGCTCTCTCTGTCCTGGTTGCTCTCTCTGTCCTTGTTGCTCTCTCTGTCCTGGTTTGCTCTCTCTGTCCTGGTTGCTCTCTCTGTCCTTGTTGCTCTCTCTGTCCTGGTTGCTCTCTCTGTCCTGGTTGCTCTCTCTGTCCTGGTTGCTCTCTCTGTCCTGGTTGCTCTCTCTGTCCTGGTTGCTCTCTCTGTCCTGGTTGCTCTCTCTGTCCTGGTTGCTCTCTCTGTCCTGGTTGCTCTCTCTGTCCTGGTTGCTCTCTCTGTCCTTGTTGCTCTCTCTGTCCTGGTTGCTCTCTCTGTCCTGGTTGCTCTCTCTGTCCTGGTTGCTCTCTCTGTCCTGGTTGCTCTCTCTGTCCTTGTTGCTCTCTCTGTCCTGGTTGCTCTCTCTGTCCTGGTTGCTCTCTCTGTCCTTGTTGCTCTCTCTGTCCTGGTTGCTCTCTCTGTCCTGGTTGCTCTCTCTGTCCTGGTTGCTCTCTCTGTCCTTGTTGCTCTCTCTGTCCTGGTTGCTCTCTCTGTCCTGGTTGCTCTCTCTGTCCTGGTTGCTCTCTCTGTCCTTGTTGCTCTCTCTGTCCTGGTTGCTCTCTCTGTCCTGGTTGCTCTCTCTGTCCTCAGTCCTGCAGATTTTGGTCATTTCTTCTTCTATTTGTTCCTTTGCAGGGAGCGCACGCCGGAAACTCACGTGCACGATCTGCAACAGGAAGTGCTCGTCCTCTCTGAACCTGCAGGAGCACAGGAAGGTGAGACTCTGATCAACTCTATGTCTCTGCAGTGTCCCTCTGTAATCTGGAGGCTGCTTTTCTCTATCTTTGAAACGCTCCGACTCTGAGACTCTGGGATGGACTTGTTTACAGACTTTTCAAACACCAGCCCACGACTCCAGAAGACAACATGTATTCGCAGCTCTCATCCTGATTCCTGAGTTTTGTTTCTAACACTGATATATTTTACTATATTCTCAATATTTAGAAAAATAATCATGTTTTTCTGCCAAACTCTGATAAAAACCTGCAGTTTTCAGTGTGTCCCACGGCCCGCCACAATGAAATCAATGTATGGGAAACACTGGTTTTTATACTAAGGTTGTGAATTCTGGGCCATTGTACGCCCTGATTCGTCGGCTGTGAGCAGAGAGCAGACGTCTGGTATATAACGTGAATATCTTTGTACATTTAGACACATCAGCTCGGACTCTGAGACACTCGGATTGACAATTTCAAACATTTCCTGACTTTTTATTCGCCTAAAAAGCATTCAATTGCAGCTTTAAAATATTTGTTTCTTTATGGATCCATCACTTATTGTTGTGTGCAGGCATTGGGTTATTCTCTCCTCTGATTGGTTATCTGCTGCTAATGATGACTTTTCATTTCCCCTCGTCATCATCCATCAACCAGATGAATCCAGTCTTCTCTAAACTCTTAGACATGCAGACTCACCTGGACGTATTTTAGCAATCGTTTCCAGAATCCTCCACAGTTTCAGTCCTGCTGATATTGGGCTTAGAAAAGCAAAACAGATTTCCCATCATGCACCAGCCTGAGGTCTGAGCGGCACAGTGTGAATCCAGGTCAGCGTGATAGGATGTTTCTGCTCATGTAATGGAGTTGTTGAGATTAATTGAGTCCTCACAGAGTTAATATATTACAGTAATACTGCGCTCCATCAGAGGCTCTGCAGACGTCCATAAAGCCGCTTAGCGCTCCGTTATTAAACTCTACATGTTCCTCTGAACATTAACATATCAGAGGCGCGGATATTCAGGCAATTACTGCAGCTGACGGAGACGAGAGGGAACTTTTCAGCACTTTAATTACTTTCTGTCAGATTGGGGGGGGGGGGAGACAAGCTTTACTTTCTGTTGATCCTTTAACTTTTAAACACTCTACTTTAAAGAGTCCTCTCCTGCTGATGTTCAGGTGTATATCAGTATGTAGTGTCTCTACTTTAAAGAGTCCTCTCCTGCTGATGTTCAGGTGTATATCAGTATGTAGTGTCTCTACTTTAAAGAGTCCTCTCCTGCTGATATTCAGGTGTATATCAGTATGTAGTGTCTCTACTTTAAAGAGTCCTCTCCTGCTGATGTTCAGGTGTATATCAGTATGTAGTGTCTCTACTTTAAAGAGTCCTCTCCTGCTGATGTTCAGGTGTATATCAGTATGTAGTGTCTCTACTTTAAAGAGTCCTCTCCTGCTGATGTTCAGGTGTATATCAGTATGTAGAGTCTCTACTTTAAAGAGTCCTCTCCTGCTGATGTTCAGGTGTATATCAGTATGTAGTGTCTCTACTTTAAAGACTCCTCTCCTGCTGATGTTCAGGTGTATATCAGTATGTAGTGTCTCTACTTTAAAGAGTCCTCTCCTGCTGATGTTCAGGTGTATATCAGTATGTAGTGTCTCTACTTTAAAGAGTCCTCTCCTGCTGATGTTCAGGTGTATATCAGTATGTAGTGTCTCTACTTTAAAGAGTCCTCTCCTGCAGATGTTCAGGTGTATATCAGTATGTAGTGTCTCTACTTTAAAGAGTCCTCTCCTGCAGATGTTCAGGTGTATATCAGTATGTAGTGTCTCTACTTTAAAGAGTCCTCTCCTGCTGGTGTTCAGGTGTATATCAGTATGTAGTGTCTCTACTTTAAAGAGTTCTCTCCTGCTGATGTTCAGGTGTATATCAGTATGTAGTGTCTCTACTTTAAAGAGTCCTCTCCTGCTGATGTTCAGGTGTATATCAGTATGTAGTGTCTCTACTTTAAAGAGTCCTCTCCAGCTGATGTTCAGGTGTATATCAGTATGTAGTGTCTCTACTTTAAAGAGTCCTCTCCTGCTGATGTTCAGGTGTATATCAGTATGTAGTGTCTCTACTTTAAAGAGTCCTCTCCTGCTGATGTTCAGGTGTATATCAGTATGTAGTGTCTCTACTTTAAAGAGTCCTCTCCTGCTGATGTTCAGGTGTATATCAGTATGTAGTGTCTCTACTTTAAAGAGTCCTCTCCTGCTGATATTCAGGTGTATATCAGTATGTAGAGTCTCTACTTTAAAGAGTCCTCTCCTGCTGATGTTCAGGTGTATATCAGTATGTAGTGTCTCTACTTTAAAGAGTCCTCTCCTGCTGATGTTCAGGTGTATATCAGTATGTAGTGTCTCTACTTTAAAGAGTCCTCTCCTGCTGATGTTCAGGTGTATATCAGTATGTAGTGTCTCCACTTTAAAGAGTCCTCTCCTGCTGATGCTCAGGTGTATATCAGTATGTAGTGTCTCTACTTTAAAGAGTCCTCTCCTGCTGATGTTTAGGTGTATATCAGTATGTAGTGTCTCTACTTTAAAGAGACCTCTCCTGCTGATGTTCAGGTGTATATCAGTGTGTAGTGTCTCTACTTTAAAGAGTTCTCTCCTGCTGATGCTCAGGTGTATATCAGTATGTAGTGTCTCTACTTTAAAGAGTCCTCTCCTGCTGATGTTCAGGTGTATATCAGTATGTAGTGTCTCTACTTTAAAGAGTCCTCTCCTGCTGATGTTCAGGTGTATATCAGTATGTAGTGTCTCTACTTTAAAGAGTTCTCTCCTGCTGATGTTCAGGTGTATATCAGTATGTAGTGTCTCTACTTTAAAGAGTCCTCTCCTGCTGATGTTCAGGTGTATATCAGTATGTAGTGTCTCTACTTTAAAGAGTCCTCTCCTGCTGATGTTCAGGTGTATATCAGTATGTAGTGTCTCTACTTTAAAGAGTCCTCTCCTGCTGATGTTCAGGTGTATATCAGTATGTAGTGTCTCTACTTTAAAGAGTCCTCTCCTGCTGATGTTCAGGTGTATATCATTATGTAGTGTCTCTACTTTAAAGAGTCCTCTCCTGCTGATGTTCAGGTGTATATCAGTATGTAGTGTCTCTACTTTAAAGAGTCCTCTCCTGCTGATGTTCAGGTGTATATCAGTATGTAGTGTCTCTACTTTAAAGAGTCCTCTCCTGCTGATGTTGAGGTGTATATCAGTATGTAGTGTCTCTACTTTAAAGAGTCCTCTGTTGCAGGTTCATGAAATACTGGAATGCCACGCCTGTGACAAGAAGTTCATCTCCACCAATCAGCTGAAGCGTCACATGATCACACACTCAGGTGAGGCAAATCAAACAGAAACACCTTTTGCATCGTGATGTGTTTTCCCCGTTTGCTTCAGACCTAGTCTCTGTGCTTCCCATGATGCATTGTGTCCTCAGAGAAGCGTCCGTACACCTGTGAGGTGTGCAGCCGCTCCTTCAAACGCCTCGACCAGGTGACGGCTCACAAGATCATCCACAGCGAGGACAAGCCCTACAAGTGCAAGCTGTGTGGGAAGGAGTTCGCCCACAGGAACGTCTACAAGAACCACAAGAAGGTGAGTGTTAGAAACTCTCCCTGGTCTCCGGCTTGAGCTTCAGCCTCAGGATCCATGTATCTGTGATCCTCTCCAGAAGGGAAGGAGTCATCACATACAGAGCATCAACTAGTTCCTGAACAGTGTCCTTCACATGCTGATATCCAAGAGAGGGAGTTACACAGTCACAAGATGGAGGAATAGAAAGCAGTATTCAATGTTTACTTCAGATTAGCTCCACGTCAGAAATGAGCATGCTTGATGTCTCTCTCCATAGAGGCTGAATCATCATGTTAATCACAGAGCTATCATCTGCCTCAAACAGTCCTGATGCTCTTCTAGGTCATCACACATCCTGTCATGTTCTCAGCTACAGTTGGGATACCTTTGTTAGCATGCTACTCTCATGTTGGAGGAGGACACTCAGTGTTTTCCCAACATGGGGGTTCATATTTAATATTATTATTATTCCTGCATGTAAAGGTGTGTAGAGACGTCTGGTATATATGATATGAGGGTTTTATAGGTAAATATAACATAAGGGCGCTAACGTCTAAATTAAGCCCCGCCCACTTTTCGTTGTAAATACTGCATTAGAGCGAAGCAGGAAATAATAGTGTCTTCATGTCTTAAAGCTGCTGAGTCATATTTTGCACCTCAAACAACAAATACGTTTTTCTAAATTGAAGTTCCTGATTGAAGAACTCAGAATGAACTCTCAAACACTCTTTCTCTGTCTAAATGAAAGACCCCCTTCCTCTATAATCAGCCCCACAGCTCTACTGCTCTCTTATTGGAGCTTCCTGCGAGGGGGGGGGGGTTTATTATTATTTATTGTGGCGGCTGTAATCCATCAGGGTCTCGTTGGTCCCGTCACAATTTCTTTACAATCCGTTTGTGTGTGTGTGTTTTTTTCAAATCAACATTCTGACTTTTTCTGGAAATCGCTAAATACTTTTTATTTCTCAAAATCTCAGCAATCTGACTTTTTCCCCCAAATTTAGACTTTCTTTAGAAAATCATTACATTCTGACTTTTTCCTCAAATTCTCAGAATTTTGACTTTTTCTGAGAATTATTCAAATTCTATTCATGTTCTCAAAATGTCTGAATCCTCTCCTTTTTAAGAAAATCTCAAAATGTTGACTTTTAAAAAGAAATGTTATCTTTGGGGTCCCCCCCCCCTGGAGGCTGTTATCTGTGGGGTCCCCCCCCCCCCTGGAGGCTGTTATCTGTGGGGTCCCCCCCCCTGGAGGCTGTTATCTGTGGGGTCCCCCCCCCCCCTGGAGGCTGTTATCTGTGGGGTCCCCCCCCCCTGGAGGCTGTTATCTGTGGCCCCCCCCCCTGGAGGCTGTTATCTGTGGGGTCCCCCCCCTGGAGGCTGTTATCTGTGGGGTCCCCCCCCCCCCTGGAGGCTGTTATCTGTGGGGTCCCCCCCCCCTGGAGGCTGTTATCTGTGGGGTCCCCCCCCCTGGAGGCTTTTATCTGTGGGGTCCCCCCCCCCCCTGGAGGCTGTTATCTGTGGGGTCCCCCCCCCCTGGAGGCTGTTATCTGTGCCCCCCCCCCCCCCCCTGGAGGCTGCTATCTGTGGGGTCCCCCCCCCCCTGGAGGCTGTTATCTGTGGGATCGGGCTGTCACTCAGACAGATAGGTTGGGTTTAAGGGGGAAACAGAAGCACTTTGAACTTAAAGCCCCTCCAGCTGCTCGTCCTCATCAAGGAAAGGAACGTTTATTTATACAGCTCTTTTCAAGGCTATTCAAAGTGCTTTACAAAAACGAAAGACATCAAGAGCATGATTGGTTCTCCTAACTCTGTTCTGATTGGTTCTCCTAACTGTGTGTAAACTCTCTCTGCAGACCCACTCTGAGGAGAGACCCTTCCAGTGTGACGAGTGCAAAGCCTTGTTCAGGACGCCGTTCTCCCTGCAGCGCCACCTGCTGATCCACAACAGTGAGTACCATCACACACCTGTATTAAGCCCCGCCCCCTTTCCCACCTGCTGATCCACAACAGTGAGTACCATCACACACCTGTATTAAGCCCCACCCCCTTTCCCACCTGCTGATCCACATCAGTGAGTACCATCACACACCTGTATTAAGCCCCGCCCCTTTTCCCACCTGCTGATCCACAACAGTGAGTACCATCACACACCTGTATTAAGCCCCGCCCCCTTTCCCACCTGCTGATCCACATCAGTGAGTACCATCACACACACCTGTATTAAGCCCCGCCCCCTTTCCCACCTGCTGATCCACAACAGTGAGTACCTGTACACCTTTATTAGGCCCCGCCCCCTTTCTCACCTGCTGATCCACAACAGTGAGTACCTGTACACCTTTATTAGGCCCCGCCCCCTTTCTCACCTGCTGATCCACAACAGTGAGTACCTATACACCTTTATTAAGCCCCGCCCCCTTTCCCACCTGCTGATCCACATCAGTGAGTACCATCACACACACCTGTATTAAGCCCCGCCCCCTTTCCCACCTGCTGATCCACAACAGTGAGTACCTGTACACCTTTATTAGGCCCCGCCCCCTTTCCCACCTGCTGATCCACAACAGTGAGTACCTGTACACCTTTATTAGGCCCCCGCCCCCTTTCCCACCTGCTGATCCACAACAGTGAGTACCTATACACCTTTATTAAGCCCCGCCCCCTTTCCCACCTGCTGATCCACAACAGTGAGTACCTGTACACCTTTATTAGGGCCCCGCCCCCTTTCCCACCTGCTGATCCACAACAGTGAGTACCTGTACACCTTTATTAGGCCCCGCCCCCTTTCCCACCTGCTGATCCACAACAGTGAGTACCTATACACCTTTATTAAGCCCCCGCCCCCTTTCCCACCTGCTGATCCACAACAGTGAGTACCTGTACACCTTTATTAGGCCCCGCCCCCTTTCCCACCTGCTGATCCACAACAGTGAGTACCTGTACACCTTTATTAGGCCCCGCCCCCTTTCCCACCTGCTGATCCACAACAGTGAGTACCTATACACCTTTATTAAGCCCCGCCCCCTTTCCCACCTGCTGATCCACATCAGTGAGTACCATCACACACACCTGTATTAAGCCCCGCCCCCTTTCCCACCTGCTGATCCACAACAGTGAGTACCTGTACACCTTTATTAGGCCCCGCCCCCTTTCCCACCTGCTGATCCACAACAGTGAGTACCTGTACACCTTTATTAGGCCCCGCCCCCTTTCCCACCTGCTGATCCACAACAGTGAGTACCTGTACACCTTTATTAGGCCCCGTCCCCTTTCTCACCTGCTGATCCAAGTCCTCGTTTTTTCTCTCCAAATTCTTCATATGTTTCGAAATCTAAACATTTGCAAACTTTTTCTTTAAAATGTCGCAAAATACGGATAAAAACAATATATATCAAAATTCATTTTTTCCCTCAAAATCTCAACATTTTGACAATTTTTTGTTCAAATTCTGACTTTCTTTTAAATTCCGACTTTTTCTTTTTTCTCGAAATTCTTCATTTGTTTAGAAATCTAAAAATTCGCTCACATATGTTTTTCTTCGGAAAATTCTTCAATCGTTTTTTCAAAATCTTTCAATTCTGACTTTTTTGCAGAAAATGTTATCATTCACCTTTTTATCAAAATCTGCTATTTTTTAATGAACATCTGAATTTGACTTATTGTCAAAATCTCAAAAATCTTCACATTTTCCTCGAATGTTTCAGCTCTTTGTGAAAATCCATTATTCCTTGTTGGATTTAAGTAATCCAGATCCAGTGTATACGTTACTCTCTGTGTGTGTGTGTGTGTGTGTGTGTGTGTGTGTGTGTGTGTGTGTCTCTGTGTGTGTGTGTCTGTGTGTGTGTGTCTCTGTGTGTGTGTCTGTGTGTGTGTCTGTGTGTGTGTTGTCTCTGTGTGTGTCTCTCTGTGTGTGTGTGTGTGTGTGTGTCTGTCTGTCTGTGTGTGTGTGTGTGTGTGTGTGTGTGTGTGTGTGTGTCTCTGTGTGTGTGTGTCTGTGTGTGTGTGTGTGTGTGTCTCTGTGTGTGTGTGTCTGTGTGTGTGTGTGTGTGTGTGTGTGTCTCTGTGTGTGTGTCTCTGTGTGTGTGTCTGTGTGTGTGTCTGTGTGTGTGTGTCTCTGTGTGTGTCTCTCTGTGTGTGTGTGTGTGTGTGGTGTGTGTCTCTCTGTGTGTGTGTGTCTCTGTGTGTGTGTGTCTGTGTGTGTGTCTGTGTGTGTGTGTTCTCTCTGTGTGTGTGTGTGTGTGTGTGTGTGTGTATGTGTCTGTGTGTGTCTCTCTCTGTGTGTGTGTGTGTGTGTGTCTGTGTGTGTGTGTCTCTGTGTGTGTGTGTGTCTGTCTGTGTGTGTCTCTGTGTGTGTGTGTCTCTCTGTGTGTGTGTGTCTCTCTGTGTGTGTCTCTCTGTCTGTGTGTGTGTCTGTGTGTGTGTGTGTGTGTCTCTGTGTGTGTGTGTCTCTCTGTGTGTGTGTGTGTGTGTCTGTGTGTGTGTGTGTCTGTGTGTATGTGTCTGTGTGTATGTGTCTGTGTGTGTCTCTCTCTGTGTGTGTCTGTGTGTGTGTCTCTGTGTGTGTGTGTGTCTGTGTGTGTGTGTCTGTGTGTGTGTCTGTGTGTGTGTGTCTCTGTGTGTGTGTCTCTCTGTGTGTGTGTCTCTCTGTGTGTGTGTGTCTCTGTGTGTGTGTGTCTGTGTGTGTGTGTCTCTGTGTGTGTGTGTGTGTGTCTCTCTGTGTGTGTGTGTGTATGTGTCTGTGTGTGTCTCTCTGTGTGTGTGTGTGTGTCTGTGTGTGTGTGTCTCTCTGTGTGTGTGTGTGTATGTGTCTGTGTGTGTCTCTCTGTGTGTGTGTGTGTGTGTGTGTGTGTGTGTGTGTCTGTGTGTGTGTGTCTCTGTGTGTGTGTCTGTCTGTGTGTGTCTCTGTGTGTGTGTGTCTCTCTGTGTGTGTCTCTCTGTCTGTGTGTGTGTCTGTGTGTGTCTCTGTGTGTGTGTGTCTGTGTGTGTGTGTCTCTGTGTGTGTGTGTCTCTCTGTGTGTGTGTGTGTGTGTGTGTGTGTGTGTGTGTCTCTATGTGTGTGTGTGTGTGTGTGTGTGTGTGTGTGTGTGTGTGTGTGTGTTTAACACCAGTCTGAAGCTGTGAGTTATAATGAAACCTTTGTGCGGGGGCGTCGCTGACAATAATTATCAGCAAGTGTTTCCATTAAAGTGAAAACACTTACACTGCTGTCCCACTTTATAGAGCTGACCGTCAGCGGCCTTGTAACAGGAACACACACACACACACACACACACACACACACACACACACACACACACACACACACACACACACACACACACACACACACACACACGGCCTGGATATTGAATGATGTGCCTGCAGGACAATAGGCCGGTTGTTTGCAGAGCAGCTGAGAGAGAAACATGCGGCGGAGCAGTTTCCCCCGCGATGTGACAACAAGCTCCTCACCCCGTCTGGACTCAACAGGCGAGACGCCTCATAACGTTTGGGCTGTTTGGAGCTTTGGAGATAAAGTTGACATTTTAAGACTGCAGACAGACTCTGAGCTGCAGACAGACTCTGAGCTGCAGACAGACTCTGAGCTGCAGACAGGCTCTGAGCTGCAGACAGGCTCTGAGCTGCAGACTCTGAGCTGCAGACTCTGAGCTGCAGACAGGCTCTGAGCTGCAGCTCAGAGCCTGTCTGCAGCTCAGAGTCTGTCTGCAGCTCAGAGTCTGTCTGCAGCTCAGAGCCTGTCTGCAGCTCAGAGCCTGTCTGCAGCTCAGAGCCTGTCTGCAGCTCAGAGTCTGTCTGCAGCTCAGAGTCTGCAGCTCAGAGCCTGTCTGCAGCTCAGAGTCTGTCTGCAGCTCAGAGTCTGCAGCTCAGAGCCTGTCTGCAGCTCAGAGTCTGTCTGCAGCTCAGAGTCTGTCTGCAGCTCAGAGCCTGTCTGCAGCTCAGAGTCTGTCTGCAGTCTTAAAATGTCAACTTTATCTCCAAAGCTACAAACAGCCCAAACGTTATGAGGCGTCTCGCCTGTTGAGTCCAGACGGGGTGAGGAGCTTGTTTGTGTGTCTGCAGCCTCTTTGCTCTGTTGTTGCAGAAACTGGGTTTGCTCTGGCTGTGAGGATGATGATGGTGATGATGATGATGACGGTGATGATGGTGTGTGTTTAGAGGCTCCACAATAGTAAACTGCAGATGTCTCTCTCTCAATGTCCCCGCAGGTGAGAGGACCTTTAAGTGCGATCAGTGCGACGCCACCTTCAAGAGGAAGGACACGCTGAACGTGCACATCCAGGTCGTGCACGACGGACACAAGAAGTACAAGTGTGACCTGTGTGAGAAAGCCTTCGTCACGCCCTCCGTCCTCAAGAGCCACAAGAAGGTGAACAAAAGAGTTTCTGAACAACCTCAATCACACAGCCATTACCGCCAGCGCTCTGTCCCAGATTCAGAGCTGCTGGGAAATAACCTGCAATCTCAAGTTGTTAGAAACGTCTGTTTTGATAAACGGAGGCCGACAGGTGCAAACACTCTACAACCACAACTCCTCCATCGGGAGAGGCAGCTTCAGGAAGGATGCAGGTAAACCCAAACGTTCCACATGAAGGAACATCTGCACAACAACTCGTGCAGCGTTTAGAGAACACTCAGCAGCTTGGGGAGACATGGCAGCGCATCTAAAGGCCCGGACACACCAGGACGAAATCGGCCGTTTTCGTTAGTCGGACGACGAAGCGTGCCCTGTCGCCCAAACTCAATTTGGTGTGTCCCGCACCGCCGGCCGTGACACGCCTTATTTGGCCTTTCATGGCCGACGCACGGCCGATTCAACATGTTGAATCGGCCGTGCGTCGGCCACAGGCAGTCGGACAAAGAAATCACTCTGATTGGCTGTTCAGCTAGCGAATCAGAGCATGAGAAGCGAAACGGTTGCTTGAGAACGTCTTCCACGAGCAACACTCCAATGGCTGAGCTCCAGTGCCGCACGAAACATGTTTTCGATGGACGAGAGTGAAAATGGAACGCACACGCTATTTGTTGTTTGTTTAGATCACGGTTGTTGCCTCTTTTGAATGACGAACACACACGACCGCCGCCTGCTGGTAAGGAGAGTTATTGCTCACGCATGCGCAGTTCGTACGTGCTCGGCTGAAGTCTTTGCGGTGTGTTCCAGTGCGACACATGGCCGCAGGAGAACTCGCCAACGCAACAGTCGGCGTCGGCGAGTTCTCTGGCGACTGCTTGGTCGGGCCTTAAGACCTGCAGAAACCAAACGCTGAACATTTGTGTGTTTCTATCATCGTCTCAGCGCTCGTGCGGCGCTTGTCGGACGCCGTACGCTCTGATCAGGACTGTGACAAAAACAAATCTGAGAAGACTTCATTTTTTTCTCGATTTTCTTCATTTGTTTAAAATCCAAAAATTCGCTCGACAATTTTTTTCTAAATTGATTTTTTTTTCAGCATTTTCACTTTTTTGCCTCAAAATTCTGACTTTTTCCAAAGCGGAAAATTCTTCAATTGTTTTTATCAAAATCTTTCAATTCTGACTTTCAGAGTCAGAACCAGAGTCAGATCAGAACCAGAGTCAGAACCAGAGTCAGAGTCAGAACCAGAGTCAGAACCAGAGTCAGAGTCAGAACCAGAGTCAGAACCAGAGTCAGATCAGAACGAGAGTCAGAACCAGAGTCAGATCAGAACTAGAGTAAGAACCAGAGTCAGATCAGAACCAGAGTCAGAGTCAGATCAGAACCAGAGTCAGAGTGAGATCAGAACCAGAGTCAGATCAGAACCAGAGTCAGATCAGAACCAGAGTCAGAACCAGAGTCAGAACCAGAGTCAGAACCAGAGTCAGAACCAGAGTCAGATCAGAACCAGAGTCAGATCAGAACCAGAGTCAGAACCAGAGACAGAGTCAGAACCAGAGTCAGAGTCAGATCAGAACCAGAGTCAGAACCAGAGTCAGAACCAGAGTCAGAACCAGAGTCAGAACCAGAGTCAGAGTCAGAGTCAGATCAGAACCAGAGTCAGAACCAGATACAGAGTCAGAACCAGAGTCAGATCAGAACCAGAGTCAGAACCAGAGTCAGAACCAGAGTCAGAACCAGAGTCAGAACCAGAGTCAGAGTCAGATCAGAACCAGAGTCAGAACCAGAGTCAGAGTCAGATCAGAACCAGAGTCAGATCAGAACCAGAGTCAGAACCAGAGTCAGAACCAGAGTCAGATCAGAACCAGAGTCAGAACCAGAGTCAGAGTCAGAACCAGAGTCAGAACCAGAGTCAGAACCAGAGTCAGAGTCAGATCAGAACCAGAGTCAGAACCAGAGTCAGAGTCAGATCAGAACCAGAGTCAGATCAGAACCAGAGTCAGAACCAGAGTCAGAATCAGAGTCAGAGTCAGATCAGAACCAGAGTCAGATCAGAACCAGAGTCAGATCAGAATCAGAGTCAGAGTCAGATCAGAACCAGAGTCAGATCAGAACCAGAGTCAGATCAGAATCAGAGTCAGAGTCAGATCAGAACCAGAGTCAGAACCAGAGTCAGAATCAGAGTCAGAGTCAGATCAGAACCAGAGTCAGATCAGAACCAGAGTCAGAATCAGAGTCAGATCAGAACCAGAGTCAGAACCAGAGTCAGAGTCAGATCAGAACCAGAGTCAGAATCAGAGTCAGAGTCAGATCAGAACCAGAGTCAGAATCAGAGTCAGAGTCAGATCAGAACCAGAGTCAGAATCAGAGTCAGAGTCAGATCAGAACCAGAGTCAGAACCAGAGTCAGATCAGAACCAGAGTCAGAACCAGAGTCAGATCAGAACCAGAGTCAGAACCAGAGTCAGATCAGAACCAGAGTCAGATCAGAACCAGAGTCAGATCAGAACCAGAGTCAGAACCAGAGTCAGATCAGAACCAGAGTCAGAACCAGAGTCAGATCAGAACCAGAGTCAGTCAGATCAGAACCAGAGTCAGTACCAGAGACAGAACCAGAGACAGAACCAGAGTCAGAGTCAGATCAGAACCAGAGTCAGAACCAGAGTCAGAGTCAGATCAGAACCAGAGTCAGATCAGAACCAGAGTCAGAACCAGAGTCAGAACCAGAGTCAGATCAGAACCAGAACCAGAGTCAGAGTCAGAACCAGAGTCAGAACCAGAGTCAGAGTCAGATCAGAACCAGAGTCAGAACCAGAGTCAGAACCAGAGTCAGAATCAGAGTCAGAGTCAGATCAGAACCAGAGTCAGATCAGAACCAGAGTCAGAACCAGAGTCAGATCAGAACCAGAGTCAGAACCAGAGTCAGATCAGAACCAGAGTCAGAATCAGAGTCAGAGTCAGATCAGAACCAGAGTCAGATCAGAATCAGAGTCAGAGTCAGATCAGAACCAGAGTCAGATCATAACCAGAGTCAGAACCAGAGTCAGAATCAGAGTCAGAGTCAGATCAGAACCAGAGTCAGAATCAGAGTCAGATCAGAACCAGAGTCAGAACCAGAGTCAGAGTCAGATCAGAACCAGAGTCAGAATCAGAGTCAGATCAGAACCAGAGTCAGAACCAGAGTCAGAGTCAGATCAGAACCAGAGTCAGAATCAGAGTCAGAGTCAGAGTCAGATCAGAACCAGAGTCAGAACCAGAGTCAGAGTCAGAGTCAGATCAGAACCAGAGTCAGAGTCAGATCAGAACCAGAGTCAGAACAGAGTCAGATCAGAACCAGAGTCAGAGTCAGATCAGAACCAGAGTCAGAACAGAGTCAGATCAGAACCAGAGTCAGAGTCAGATCAGAACCATAGTCAGAACAGAGTCAGATCAGAACCAGAGTCAGAACCAGAGTCAGGTCAGATCAGAACCAGAGTCAGAATCAGAGTCAGAGTCAGAACCAGAACCTTTATACGTCCCACAGAGGGGAAATGTACAATGTTACAGCAGAAAAGAGTGCAAGCACACAAAAGCATTAAAGACACAAAGACTATAATACAGTAGTTCAGACATGAGGCTCAAACTGTGACACGAGCCAGTGGTTCTGAGGCAGACTCTGAGCAGACGGCAGGCACTTCAGATCGGCAGATTATCAGAGATCTGACAGGCTGTGGTTCTGATCCAGATACAGCTGGTTGGACTCAAGAAAGGGCTCAGAGCAGCAGGGCTGAAGAGATGCATGCTGGGAGATGATCAGAGCCAGGTTACTGGGGGGGTCTCAGTGTTTACCTGCAGAGAGATGATGATGATGGACGAGCTGTTAAAGTAATGCTTATTCTACACCTTCATACCCAACACGATCAGAGTCAGAATGTGTGTGTGTCTGTGTGTTTCATGTGAGAGTGTGTGTCTGTGTTTCATGTGAGAGTGTGTGTCTGCGTGTGTGTGTGCATGTACTGTATGTTCTGCTCATTGTACGAGACTCTCTGGGAGACGTCAGCATGAATGAAAATGACAGAGTTTGTGTTCGACACACACACACACACACACACACGCACGCACACACTCACACACACACACACACACACACACACTCACACATGCACGCACGCACGCATGCACGCACTCACACACACACACACTCACGCACACGCACACTCACGCACACGCACACACAGGAGTGATTGAACATGTCCACATCCGTGCCGTAGCCCTGACAGCGTTCAGAGTGAAGAGTTATCATCCTGCCTTGTAAATATCCAGAATACATGAAAGTGGTGAAAGTTGTAGTGAAGGAGTGGAACCCAGCTTTCTGTCCTCACTGCACATCTGGGACGCGTGTGTTCAGTGTGAGTGTGTGTGTGTGTGTGTGTGTGTGTGTGTGTGTGTGTGTGTGTGTGTGTGTGTGTGTGTGTGTGTGTGTGTGTGTTCAGTGTGTGTGTGTGTGTGTGTGAGCCTTTGTAAGGAAACACCCGAGGTGTCGGAGGGACTCTGTGGGGGACGGGTGGGACGGGGACGGGGGGTCCTGTATTGTTGTTCGGCTGTTGAAGCTGTCGCTCTGAGTTTAAACTCTCCGACTCTCTGATCGAATCTGAAACAGGAGGAAACCAGTTAGAGAGGAGAGAGGAGAGAGGAGAGAGGAGAGGAGGAAACCAGTTAGAGAGGAGAGGAGGAAACCAGTTAGAGAGGAGAGAGGAGAGAGGAGAGGAGGAAACCAGTTAGAGAGGAGAGGAGGAAACCAGTTAGAGAGGAGAGAGGAGAGGAGGAAACCAGTTAGAGAGGAGAGAGGAGAGAAGAGAGGAGGAAACCAGTTAGAGAGGAGAGAGGAGAAGGAGGAAACCAGTTAGAGAGGAGAGAGGAGAGAAGAGAGGAGGAAACCAGTTAGAGAGGAGAGAAGAGAAGAGAGGAGGAAACCAGTTAGAGAAGGAGAGAGAGAAGGAGGAGGAAACAGTTA